ATGTGTAACATTTTTTTTATATTGACGCTCAATTGTTTTAAAGTAGGGGGTGCTATCTTTCCAGACTTTACGGTATTTCTATTAAAGTTTATATTCCAGTATCTCAAACGGTATTTTTCATGTGAAAACATGGCAGGAGGTGACTTTACAATCATATTACACACACAAGATGTAGTTTATTTTCTGGGGGGCATGTTCATATTCCAATGTGAATTCTAATTTGATTTTAGTAGATAATGAAATTTTTTTTATTTACAATTATTTTAGTATGTCAAATACACAAAATTTGCTTTCAAGAATTTTAATTGATAAATAAGTCTGCCTAAAAAAATTTGCATGTCACAGGCCATATTGATTCGCATCATTAATAAATTGTTTAAATGTTACCATTGAATTGTTTCGCCCAATTATAAAAAAGCAAGATTCGCGTTAATATGATCAGTTGCTTAATTTGGCGGTGACATTCAATAGAGTTTTCCCAGTCCTATTCACATATGCATAGTCACGTTTTCGTGATATAAACTTTATTAAATCAATAACGTCAATCAATATCTAAAAGGATTTACTTTTTTTTTTTTTTTTTTTTTAAACTAAGACTTCATTTCAAATTTATTAAACTTAGTAAAATATAATTAATACATGTTACATATAACGTTACCAAAAAAGAAATAATGACCCGCCACCCATGATACAAAGTAAATTGATGGAAGATCCAAGCCTTGCATTGGCTACCAGGATTTGAACAGGCCAACTGAATGTTTTAAGGCTAGGCCACCCGCATCCGTTCTGAAGATAACCAACACACAACTAATCTATTAAAGAACCTGAATAATATTGTAACCATTCCTCCCCTAATATTATAGATTTAAGAACTCCATCTTGACCAGAAGCTAAACTATGTTGAATATTATTTCTATTGTTAATACTAGAACTAGAGGAACTATTGTTTGGTTTCTTTTTTATTTTTTATTTTTTATTTATACCAGCATGTTCTTCTTCTAAAATAAATTGGTCACAACGAGGTGACCATATAAATTGTTCTATATCTAGGAAAATATTATTTAAGAAAACAGAAATAATGTTTTGTGTTATACTTTTGTTTTTTGAAGAGTTGTTAATAATCTTGGCCAATGATAAAGGTGCCACTCCTTTGATTAAGTCAATAAAGTTAAACTCATCTTCATTGCTATTAATTTTCCATATGGATTCATTTTGAAGATCTCTTGTTGAAAATTGTTTGTTGTTTGTAAACATTTTAACCAATTTAACTAAACGTTTTTTGTTGTTAAAAATAATTGAATCTATAATATTTTTTTGATTTTTGCATTTCCATACATGTTCAAAAGTTTCTATTTCATCACGACACATTGGACAATTCCAAAGTTTATATAAGTCAGGGCGTCTTTTTTTAACATGCTCTACTGTAGGTAATTCTTTAGTTAGATATTTGATCCTTCTAATTTTAATATGACTTGCCTTGAATGATGTATTTGTTGACATTTCATCATCGTTTAATGCAGCAAATGAAGAACACCAATCCACATCTACTTCACAATATTTGTTGTTTCTGTATAAGTTAATAAATTGTTCAAAACCACGATTTTCTTGATAAATCTGTAATAAAATGTCGTAAATGCTTTTCTACAATTATATTGTTCCATCGCGGAATATATGAGATTGAGAATAAATTGTCCAGAATAAAAGTTATTGGTAATGAATTACAACCATGCGTCAATCTGGCTAATTCATCCACTTTGTCGTTAAAATGGTCACCACTGTGATCCTTGACTTTAACAAAATTTAAATTAATATTATTAATGTTGACAATGTCATTAAGAATTGTCCATAATAAACTGTTTGAAGCTTCTTTAAATATATTCCTTGGCATCAATGGGTACTTGGAATTTTGTAGTGTATTAAAATGTTTGATAGAAGCTTTGCTGTCTGTGAAAATAGTGATCTGTGAGTTCTTTGGAGAAATTAATAATGCTATGATAATTGCTGCTACTTCAGCACGTGTTGATGATGGCCATTTTTCTATTGTAGCAGAGAAAGATATTTGAGGAGCATTCAATGCTGTTTGTAGTATTGCGAAGCTCATTGACATTTGTATAGTTCCCTATCTAAAAGGATTTACTAATTTTCTCTTATATACTTTGATTCGTGATCCACCAGTTAAGGAAAGGATTTAATAGTAAAACAAACAAGTTTACAAATGAGGAAGCAAAGTGAGCCATCAAGATTTTCATTTATGTCTTGAAAAAAATTATTGTAATTTGTTTCACAATTTTTTCAAAATTTATATACTCATTAATAACATGTCTATCTACCTTTATGCAATCAAAATCAAAAGATAATATATCCAGAGAATCCCACGAGATCTGTCCTGTGGCAAACATACATGACTTAGATGTGCTATTAGTCCATCTACTTGCACATGAAACAGTTCTTCATTTGTTGGCATTACTATTTCTGGTGTTGCTTTTCTCAAGATAGCAGCATACACACAATTTTGTTAGTATTGCATAATTGGTTGCTCAAAAGGTTTCCAACAGTTATTTTTATCTATAAATATATGTATATGTGTATAAATTATATGTACAGTATATAATAAATTATATTTATATGTATGTATATATATGTTTTAATTAAATAAATTTCTCACCTATTTTTTTTCTAACATTTTTTGTTATATGTTTCAGACCTGCTGTTCTCCCCTTAGAGTTTTATTGCTATCAAGATCACCATCAACACATATATCTAAAAGCATATCATGTTGGTCAAGTATTGGTGTAATTTTATTTAGAATAGCAATTAATATTGCATGTTCCATCTGTTTGGACATCAGGAAATTTTTCTGACATGGATTTACGTAATTATTACACTATTTACGTAAGTTTACGGCGGGCCCATAATATTATGCAAATAAGCATACAAAAATTATGCAATTATTACATCGAGTGTAAATATTACATAATTTTTATGCAAATATTACAACTTTACATATTAAAATTTACGGATGTAATATTGCGGCAGGGAAAATTTCCTGATGGATAATTTTCTTGGTGAAGGATCTTAGAATCTACAGTTTCATTCCTGATGATTCTAGATTTTCAACAACATGATAGGCAATAACTGGTTTGTGATTGTAATCTATAAATCAGGTAAGTATATTGCAAGTTTATTTATTTCTCTGTTATTTTATTTCTTAATCTAATAAAAAATATATAATTATCAAGATGATTTCCTTGAAATATAAATTCTCCACTAGCTTGATTTGCATTCCTTAGATGTGACCATGAAGTATCAAAACTAACAGAAAGGATATTCCGATCAAGAGATTTGACATGATTTATACATTCCATTGGTGTGTCTTTTGCACTCTCCTCTGCTTCTGTAGTCAAATTTTGGAAAAATCTTTTCTGGTTGTTATGAATTGTTTTTTTTTTTCATATTTGGTTAGCTGTTCCCATTGATGCAAGGAAGGTCTCATTTTGTTGATGATTCAATCCAGCTACCAAACTTGAGCCTGTAGCTAACAAATTAAAACCTGAATTAAGAGGTTCATCAGAATATTCAGCAATGCTATCACGCATAAGACACCTAATTGTTATTTTCATAGAAAACCAACATTGAATATTTCATATCTTTTGTTATTTATAAATTAACTTCACAATTAATGCAGGGTAGCCCAAGTAAGGTATTGTTGATTTGCGTTAATGAAAATAGTAGAGCCAAGATTGTTGTTGTTTATTGCTTGTTTTACAACATCATTAATATCATCTTGTTCTATTAATTGTTCATCCACATGACTTGTGGATTCATGATCTCTTGTTACATTTTCCTTTGCACATTTATATTTTTTATTTGCCTGGTAATATATTCTACTAACAAGCCTTGTGTGGCTTTATTATCCAATTCTAGGCCCCTTTCATCAATGATAATACCACTCTACTTTTTTCATTGTTGTATGTGGTGAGAAGTTTTCATTAGCACCAGAATTCCCTTTCACAATGATTTCTCCTTTTCTTTTCATTTGTTTTTGTATAGATTTGGTTTTTTTTCATTTTCAAGAATTCTTTTGTCTGTGAAATTTATAAAAGTATCAGGATATTTTTGAATTTCAGCAGCTCTTAAATAATTCACATTTTCTGGATTGCTTAATCCTAAAATATTAGGTATTGAAATATGCCCTTTTCTTCTATCTTTTATATATGAATGAAAAGAAGAAAAAAATCAGAATTTGATGTTTGATAAATAACTTGTGTTAATGTTTTATCATTTCCATAATCTACCCAAACATGATTCCAGGAATTATTGGTACAAGTGTCTTGCCTTCTTTATCTGACATGCCTTTGACTACAATTGTTGATAAAATGAATTTAATAGAGCTGTGTTATGTTCAACAACTGCATGCTTTTCTTTAACCTTCAAAGTGTATGTATCATCTTGAACAAAACACCTTGACCTTCAAATGCCTTATATTGGGGATTTCGTTTGCATAGTTCCTGGTGCCACTTCATATTCTATTAAGATATAACTACTTTCTCATATTAAAAAAATGAAATAAATTAGCAAGAAACTCAAATAAAAAAAGTCTTTTATTAGCATATATATTGAGTCTATAAGAGTATATTTAGTGTTTCCTATATGTTAATTAGTTATTTGAAAATATTTTTGAGCTTTAAGTTAAAAAAACTAAAATTTGTATATAATAATAAGTGGTTTTTTTTGGTTTTGGTATAATTGTGATAATTATGTTTATTTTTATGCATCTTACATATGTAGCATATTTTTTAAAATTGAACTCCAAAAAAATTGGCCATTGTTGATCATATTAAATGTCACATGATCCCCCTTAAAGGCTTTTTTTATTAAAAAAATACAGTGAACTTTCTCTAAGTGCAACCTCGTCAAATGCATTTACTATGTTTTGCTTCATCTGAATGCAAGCCTGATATAGTTCTAAATTATAAAACCTCTACATATTTTACTCTCTATAAATGCAATCCTTCTCTAAATGCATGTAATGATTGATTTTCCGTCAAGTTGCATTTAGGGAGAATCACTAAAATAATTTATATTGATATTAAGGGTAAATCTAAAACACAATGGGCAGTTGTATCATCAAGTTTGAATTTTCCTAATGTTAATATGGTATATTATTAAATCAATGAATTTAATTAATTTGCCCTTCTATTGTTAATGGTAATAGGGACAATAGGGACATCAAATCATTCAAGAAGATTTTGGAATCTAGTAATATAAGTTAAGCGTTAGCATATGTTTACATTTCATATTAAAACTGTTAGTTCTATAAATTTTTCATGTATTTATTGTGTACAATTTTATCTAAAATTTGTTTCCACAATTGAATAAATTCCAATTCTGTATTTTTGTACAATCAGAAATAAGATTTTACAAAGCTCTATTCTCTGAAACTTTTGGGCTTATATATATAATCAAAAAATATAATTTATCTGTATATAAAAATATAATTTATGTCCATATCGTCATCTTTACTGTTACCACTGTCATCACCATTATTGCTGTCTTCTGCATCGTCATCTTCTTCTTTGCCTTCATCATCACCATAGCCACCATTGTCACTATTGTCACCACTGTTGCTGTGTCTTCCCTGTTGTTATAGTTGTTGAAGTTGTCTTTGTCTTCGTAATCTTTTTTTTCAATTTTTGCAGCCGTAACTCCCATCTGAGCAGGATATCATTTATTTCGATGTTGTCGTCGTTTTTAGTGTTGCTAGCTGACTAGTTGTAGTCGCAGCTAAAGATTTTATATGTAGCTGTGACTGGAAATTTTTCAAGTCGATTGATTGGATTCAGCCATAAATTATTACAGTCTTAATGTTACTGTGATATTAGATAGTTGTGGCCAGTGTATAAAATTCGATGTTTGAACTGTTGTTTTGATTGAAATTTTTTTCCAAATTTGTACTAGTTACACAACGAACCTCAAAATTGAGCGTGATAGGTACTATTTATGATCCTATGGAAAGGAAACATCAAATTTCTTAAAATCCCTACTTTAACATAATAATAATAATGTTTTTAAACGCATCAATTCTTTCCCAGCTGGGGCGAGCTTTTTTAAGACATTCTACATTAAATTTTTTTCTGTGAATTTTTTTCTTGGATGACTGGATTTGATTTCAATTATTTGGCAATGATACAAAAAATAGCTTTTAAACAAATAGTGAGGTTAATAATAAATCTACTTTGGAACATTCTAAGCATTTTTTTTTTTTATTAAGATTAAAAAACATGTTTTGTATTAGTTTTTAAAAAATATTATCGGTGATTTTTGATGAGTATATATTTAATTAATTAGTCGAGGCTAGAAAAAAACCAGTCGACTGGCCACGGCTTACAGTTAGTTCTCCAACCGGTTATTTTAAGAAACAATAAAATCCATCATGATTCGCATCAATCACATGATCTAACAACCTAAAATTTTCTTTTTTTTTGATACAGGTATCATTTCAAGTAGAAGTTAATTTAATCAATGCAATTTGATTTGATTAATAGATTTCTCTTTACTAAAATTTGATTATAACAATTCAGAAAAATTACAATAGTATAACAACTGTTGGTTGTTTCACATGATACCCAGGTTGGTTTTTACTTTATATCAGAATAAATTATAGTATTTATTAACAAAAACTTCCATTTTATTAGATTTTACATGATATATATATTTTAGATGATGGGGAAAAAAACAATCTAGTATAGTCACATTTCTATTCGATCAAAATAAAGAACAGGTCTGCTGGTGTAACCAGAGTAGATGAAAATGTGACTTGCACCCATTTAATGTTGATTGGACAATAACAATAAGCACAAAGTGTTCTAATTTTCATATTAATATTGAATTTTTTTTCAATCCTATTATTTTTGCTAGTCAATTTTATTTACTTATTTAATTTTGAGGCTATATTTATTAATCAATATAGACATTAGCCATGTATCATCCACCCCGAGGAGGTGTTAGAGGAGGAAGGGTAAGATAAAGTTTATTTTTGTTCCTTGGACTTATTATTGCTAATCGGTAAATAAATAATAAATTGTTTTTCTCCTGAACCAATTGAAAAACTAGGATCAATTTAACTGTAAGTTTTTCTGTTACTTGCATTTTTCAGGAATTATTAATGTCAAAATTTTAAAAATTGTAATTTTTTCCTTTCTTAGGGGAGTAAGTATTTTGATTCGAGATAAGGTCAAAAACAACAACTTTTTTCTTCCCCTGTAATAAAATTTTTGTATATTTTAATCAGAGATGTCAAAACAGACAAACATAGAGAAAATTATCTTGGTCATTCCCTTCATGCGCCTGTAGGAAGGTAATTAATTATTAATCGATTTTAAATAATTAGTTAAAATAATATTATGAAATTTAATCAATTGATTTTTCTTAGATGGCAACAAGGTAAAGATCTGACATGGTACTCGAAAGAATCAAAAAATGATCAGGCGCGTAAAGAAGAAATCAAATCAATCAAAGAGGCTGAAGCAGAAGCAATGGCCGAATTATTGTAAGAAAAGGATGATAATCAAATCAATGGACCAATTGAATAGATTGTTATAACTTAAAAATTAACATGTCTGGTTGGTTTGTTTAATAGGGGAGGCGGTAAAAAAAGAAAAATCACAGGAAATGTATCACAACAAGAACTTAAAACTGTTTTAAAAAGAGAACAAGAAGGCTACGATGACGATGGCGGTGGTATTGGCGAAGAAGAAGATATCAAAGAGGTAACTAAAGGACTGGGGTTTAAAAGGTTTGTTTTTCATAATAATCATAAAAGAAATTTTTATTTTACTGGCTTTGATTAAATTAAAAATAATGATTTCGAAAAGCTCCGGACATTTATCTATTGGTGAGGTGGAGCTAGGTGATACTGAAATAATAGGTGCAGTAAATATTCCAAAAGATGAAAGAAAAGTAGAAATAAAAACTGAAGAAAGCATACATCCTAATTTAAAGAAATCTGCAGTTCGTACAACTGACGAACAAAAAATATCAAAGAAACGTAAAAAGGATAAAGGTAGAGAACGAGAAAAAGAACGAGATAAAGAACGAGATAAAGAACGAGAAAAGGAAAAGAAAAAACACAAGAAGCATAGGAGTCACAGAAAAGATAAAAGGGATTAACAAATAAATCAGAGAGGAGTTGAATATATCTCTCAAATATATCGTATATAAAAGCAACAAGTTAAATTATCATATTTAAGTATTATTTCATATAATGGTAATTATTATCATCACACATCAATCCTCATAAGGATAAAGAGGATTAGATATTAGACATTATTGAATATATTTTAATATATTATAAATTTCTTTTTAGATAACAAATAATAAATAATATTTATCACGTATTTTTTTTTTTATGATTTTGAAGAAAACTTTTTAGTTGCGGCTTCAAGCAAATAACCAAGTTCATTGCTTTCCTCACAAAGTTTCCTAAATAAGCTGTCTTGTTTTTGTAATAAATTATAAGGCGTGTCAAATTCTGCAACTTTTCCTTGTTCTATAGAAAATTGAATTATCGTAAATATATATATATATATATACACAGTCAAAGGTAAAAATTATCTTTTAAAAAGATTGTAAATAAACTTACCGAGTACCAAAACCTTTAAAATAATAACGATTTTTTAAAAAAGATTGTATTTAATTGAGAATTTTTTTAAAAAATATTACAAATCAAATTAATTTACCTTATCGTAATCAATAATTGTTCTTAGTCTATGAGCAATACATAATAAAGTTGCCCAGTTAAATTCACTACGAATGGTGTTTTGTATATTGTAATCAGTTTCTACGTCAACACTTGCAGTGGCTATAAAAAAAAGAGACGCGTTTATTATATTGATTTTTTATAGTCAAATCAAGTCAAAGCTTTATTTTCTACAAACCTTCATCCAACACAATAACAGGCGACCTCCTATAATTTCAAATAACTAATGTTAATATTTATATTTATACGTACACACCTAATTTAACAATAATTCAAATTACCTCAACAAAGCTCTTGCTAAACATAACAGTTGTCTTTGCCCTTGACTAAAGTTATTGCCACCTTCTAAAACTTTGGCTTGTAACTTATTCTCCAACTTCAAAATATAATCTTTTAAATGTGCACTTTGAAGCACTTGCCAAATCTCAACGTCATCGTGTGCGTCAAATGGATCAAGATTAAAAGCAACGGTACCTTTTTTAATACAATTATTAATACAATTTGCATATAAAACAATTAAATACGAGATAACATGAGAAATTAAATAAATTACCTTCAAAAAGAATCGGATCTTGTGGAATGATCGTAAGACGTGAACGTAAGTCATATAATCCAATTTTTGATATGTTAACACCATCCTAATAATGATGATGTTAATGATGATGATAATGACAATCAAACAAAATTTAAAACAGTGCAACTAAAAACCGACCAAAAATCAATAAAATTGATTATACATACCACTATAATTTCACCATCAACAGCTTCTATCAATCTAAACAAACTTAATGTTAAACTTGATTTCCCTGCGCCTGTTCTGCCAACAATGCCAATTTTTTCTTTGGGTTGTATTTTAAATGTAACTCCCTTTTAAATGGAAAGAGGAATGAATAACAATCAAATTGCAGATTATAATTTATATATTATTATCATTATTTATTATTTTGTTTTTAAAAATAAAGCTCAATACTAACTTTTAACACTAGTTCAAGTCCTTCGCGATAACGAGTCGAGTAATCATTATATTCAATTAATCCACTGTGAGGCCAAGTTGGTGCAGGTCTATTATCGTGAATAACAAGAGGTGCTTCACTTGGTAATTCAATATACTACAAGGTTTTAATTAAACCAAATCAAATTAGATTAAATAAAACAGCAATCTTATAACTAATGTAATCTTGTAATAAACACAATAATAAAATATTACCTCTTTAACTCTTTCAACGGATACTATATTGGTCTATATTTTGCAAAAGAAAATAATCATATTTTCAATAATTTTAATTTTAAAAAAATAAAAAAAAAAAAGTTCACAAAAAACCTTACCTCAATCTCACAAAATTGTCTAACTGCCCAATTTAAAGCTTGAGTAACACTAAGAGCATAAGTTACAGACAATCCAACAAGACCTGCATCAATATTTCCTGTAGTTAATAAAGTGACAACAGCTAAAATTGATGCGGAAAATATTATCAATGAACCTAAAAAAAAAAGATCAAATTAACTGGCATTCATTACTCTGAAAATAAATAACTTGAAAAAATAATGATAATAATATTTATTTACCCAAAAATTCTAATCTAACAGCCAACCATCTATTACATGATATAGATGGAAAATAGGCCTTTTGATTTTCATCTAGTCTATTTTCATTTTCTTCAATAAATCTATCAGTTTGCTGATAAGCTCTTATAGTAGTTACGCCGCCTAATGTTTCTTGAAAATGTGCGTAAATGGGAGATCTTGTTACTGAATCCAATCTTTTTAATTCTCTTGATGTAGATAAATAGTAAACTTGGATATACCGATATACAAATACTAATTTATAAAATATATTCCAACAATATTTAAGTTAAAAATAATAATTTTTAAGAAAATGATAGGAAAAATAATAAGGTGATATATGATTAAAACTTACTCATTGGAACAATAACAATAATAAACAATGGTGTAGAGAATGCAATAACTAAAATAGTTGCCAATACATAAAATATTGTTCTAAAATATCCCGCAAATGTTCTTGGCAAAACTTCATCTATAGTGTACTGATCTTTGCTAAATCTATTCAAAATACGTCCTAATGGAGTTGTATCCTTAAAAAATAACATTAGAGAAATTACAAGAATTAATAATGTTTCAGTTAATTTAAAAATTTATTGATAATATTAATACTCACAAAAAATGATGTTGGAGATCTATAATAATAAAAAGACAATTAAATTTATTTTGACAAGGAAATAATATATAGAAAGATTGATAATAATAACACAAATTATAAAATTTGAAGTATTTACCTAACAACACTATTCAACATATCTTCATGTAACTTTCGAGCAGCTCTATTTTTTTTTTGAAAAAAAAGAAAATATGTATTAGACTATGGATGTTCTTTATAATTTATAAATTTCAAAAATCTTGATTATAACCTACCGAATAGTGCAAAATACCAAAAGTATAATGGTTTGAATGATTGTCAAGACAGAATACAATAGCCCAATCATACCATAAAGTCCCAGATATATTAATACATTGTCATTGTCATTTTGAGAACTCCAATATTTTAAAAATACATTGGTTCCTATTATATTAAAATCATAAAAATAAATTTAAATTTCATATTTTATATATACACAAAAACTAAAAAATCAACCATTAAAATCCTTATCAAAAAAAAGTTATCACGCATACCGATTTGAGCGCCTTGAGCAATAATCAACATAGTCAAATAGAAAACTACAGCAGGAGTCGAGCAAGATTCAGCATATGCTTTATAAACCGACCACTGGACACTTCCTTTAGCAGCTTCTTCTTTGACAATAATGGCATCTTTATTGGTTTCTAAATCTTGTTTTTTGTTTCTAACAGTAATAAGAGATGGTCGACGGTGAATGCTTGCAACACTGACTCTTCTTTCATTAGGACTTTGACTGGTTTCTTCCAGTTTTTGAACGTGACTTTGTTTACCAATTTCATGAGTCTCTATGGTGCTAGGGCTTGATACTTCTTCTTCTTCTTCGACAATTTCTTCTTGACCAAATTCGCTAATCAAATTATATAATTCCAATTTTTGTTTCATTAAAGATTCAAAATTTCCTTGTTCAGTAATCTTTCCCTCACGCAACATCACAATAAAATCAGTTTGAGAAAGGTAATGTATTCCGTGCGTAACAAAAATTCGTGTTTTTTTCCTTAATAAACCATTGGAACCTATGACCTTTTCAAATATATGCTTGCCTTTAAAAAAGATATAATAATAGTAAAAAGATGAGATTCTTAATTAATCGTAAGATAATTAATATGCAATATTATAGAACTATAATAAGTTACAATATACATATATGTATGTGTGTGATTTTTTTTTAAAAAAAAAAAAAACATACCAACATGTGCATCAACAGCTGATAGCGTATCATCTATTTGAATAAAAATGAATATTTTTATTATTTTCAATTATGATGTCCAATTAAATTAAAATAATCGATTGGTTTTTTTTACCTAATAAATATATATCAGCACGAGAATAAACTGCACGAGCTAAAGCAACTCTTGCCTTTTGTCCACCTGAAAGGTTAATACCTCGTTCACCAATTTCAGTTAAATCACCACCGGGAAGAATTGCGATGTCTGATTTTAAACTACAAGATTCAATAACCTCTGTCAACCCCCCCCCCCCGAATGATTGAATTAATATATGCTTAAAAATATATGTGTATATTATTTTTCTCGCAATTAAAAAACTTATATTACCATCATAAAAATCAGGCTCATACTTATAACCAAATGTGATATTATCTCTAAGTGTTGCATTCATAATCCATGCTTTTATTTTTTAAAATTTTATTTATTGAAGTAATGATATTATATATTATATAGTAGTAGAACATTAGATAAGAAAATTGTACCTGATTGTGGAACATATGCTACACTTCCTCTCACCACTACTTCTCCATTTATTTTTTCTGTTTCACCTAACAAGGCAGATAATAGTGAAGTTTTTCCAGAGCCTATTGAGACAAAAAATTAATCGAAAACTTTTATTTAAATTAAAAAATTAAATTTTTTTTTTTTTTAATATTGTAACAAAATCTTACCAACTCTTCCAACAATAGCGCACAATTCTCCAATTTTAACACTGAGATCAATATTTTCTAAAACAGGGTCCAATACTTTTGACCAACTGAAAATGCCATTTTTTACCGAAACCATTTCAACTCTATTTCCGGACGAAGCATCAAATTGCTTGGTACGAATTACAGCTTTAGGATCAAGTTCATCAGCCTTCAAAAAATTTTCCATGCGGTTTAAAGCAACAGACGCTTCCACAGTAGAAGAAATTACGCTCGGGAAAACGGAAAGAGGAAATTGAAGTAAATTGAATAACGTCAAAGCGACAAATACAACCTCATAAGTTAATGGTTGATTTGAGACCAATGCATAAACAGCAAATGCTGCAAATGAAACAAGGAAAGGCTAATGATAATATAAATGGATTTGTATATGTGGAAGAAGAATCCGAATCAGTTAAAGTTATGCAATAGGTTGATTGTTATTATGCTTGCTTACTGTAGATGACCATGTAAAAACTTGTAAAGAGCTAAGATATCCCAATTTTTTCAAAGTTTCTAACTCCAAATCATTCCTAACATGAAAGATCTTATAAAAATAATATTATGAGAAAAGCTTACAATATTATACATGAATAACTAATTTCGTCATCAAAAATTTCCAAAGTAAAAATTTGTACCTTTCTCAAAAAAGCGGATTCCCAAGCATAAAGTTTAATAACTTTGATTCCATTAAGTATTTCATTCTTGGTAAATTAAAATATAAGAATTTAGGATACACAATCAAATCTGGTGAAATTCACAAGAATAATTATAATAGGAATTTACCATTAATCTGATTCTTTCGTCTTTATTAACCATTTGTTTCTTTTGTAGAGTTCTCATTTTTCCAGCAAGAAATGCATTAACAGGCAACATCATTAACATAACACCAACACCGGCAAAAATACTAGCACCCATTGTTTCATATAAGAGGTATAAGGCCAAGAATATTTGTAAAGGACCTGACCAAATTATGTGTAGGTATGTGCATAGATCCATAAATCTTTGTGCGTCCACACTCATATCTTAATATATATGTATATATTACATGTTTGTTAATTACAAAAGCCCAATGAAACAATTTATATGCTTATTTTTTAAAATAAAAAAAACATACGGTTTACAATTTCTCCAACTGTAGATTTTTGACGAGCGCTGTTTGAAAGATTAAGTGATTTTTGATAAATTGCAGATATCAGACCAGCTCTAACCTATTTTTTGTATTATTATTATCAAGGGGTTATTTATTATAATCTTGTAAACAAAAAAAAAAAATCCAAAAAAAAAATCACTCAAGGCTACCCTCATTCTTGCTTTATAAAACAGTAATGGCTTCTAATTTTTTTTGTCGTGACGAAGAAGGTTATGTAAGTAATAATAATCCAAAGTTTTTAATTAAAGTAATTTTTTAAAAGAATTTAACCAAACTCATTTTCCTTAAAGGGCCCTTGGAGACCAACTCAAGAAACTCCAGATTTTACTTTATGCTTTGAGGATGGGTAATTCACTCATTAACTCATTCATTTGTTCACTCACTCACTCATTCATTCACTCACTCACTCATTCATTCACTCACTCATTCATTCATTCAATATAATCAATAAAACTTTTCATTAATGCTTATTAATATTTTTACATTAGTGCTTTAATTTTGCCCATAAACTTATTGTTTATAATTTGCGGTTCCATCGAATTATATCGATTATCAAAAAATCACAGCATTACTCCTTATGAAGAATTTCAAAAATGGCATTATATGAAACTGGTACTTTCAAAAAATCCTCATTATTATTATTAAAATAAAAACTTAAAGTTCTTTATTTCAGGCATGCTTATCAATGTTGATCACCTTGAGCCTAGTCTTATTTGGAATTTCAATACTTGAAGTTAATTTACATATTCTAGACATAATAGTCTTTTCATCATTTATTAATGTATTGGCCATGGTAAAATATTTTATAATTATAAAGGTTCAAAATTAATTTATTTAAATTTATTAATGCTTAATGATTTATTTAGATATTGGCTTTAATGCTTCATCAAAAATCATACAAAAATAGTTATGTAGCATCATTTGTTTTATTATTGTACTGGCCAATTTATTTAATTGTTGGATTGATAAAATTGAGAACTTTCGTCAACAAGGATTATCAATTTTCAAATCCTGTCTTGATAATTTCATTTGTATCAACATTGGTTTTGGCATTAATTATATTTATCTTGGATCTTATTCCTAGGCCAAGGAGTGAATATTTACTCATTAATGAAGATAACGTAGTTAAATTTAGATTCATACTTAATTTATATATATAAATGATTTTTATTAAACCAACAACTATTGTTAATTAAACAGCAAAGTTGTCCAGAGTCAAGATCAAATATTTATTCACGAATTACCTTTTACTGGATGACTCCACTTATGAAACTTGGCCATGAAAAATATTTAACAATGGATGATTTATGGTAAAATAACATTATTTTATATTTTATTGTAATATATAAAAATCAACTTTTTAATTAATATTCCTAAACATTTAGGAACTTGAATTACAATGATCAATCTCATAGAATATCTCAAAAATTTGAGCAAATTTGGAAAAAAGAATTATCCAAAAAAAAGTAAAAATTATTTTCAATCGAATCATTTGGTTTAAAAAATTTTATAAATTAATAATTACTCAAAAAACATATAATAATTTATTATATAAATATTAT